TATACATGGTCGTTTTTTTTGGCCAAAAACGCCTTACTATACATGGTCGTTTTTTTTTTGTTTTTTTTTTTTAATAAAAACGCCTGACCATACATGGTCGCTTTTTTCGGCCAAAAACGCCTGACTATACATGGTTGTTTTTTTCGGCTAAAAACAACTGACTATATATGGTCGTTTTTTTTGGCCAAAAACGCCTTACTATACTACGTCGTTTTTTTCGGCCAGAAACGCCTGACTATACATGGTTGTTGTTTTCGGCTAAAAACGCCTTACTATACTACGTCGTTTTTTTCGGCCAGAAACGCCTGACTATACATGGTTGTTGTTTTCGGCTAAAAACGCCTTACTATACTACGTCGTTTTTTTCGGCCAGAAACGCCTGACTATACATGGTTGTTGTTTTCGGCTAAAAACGCCTTCCTATACATGGTCGTTTTTTTCGGCTAAAAATTTTGCTCAAAAATCCCTTCATATACATGGTCGTTTTTTTCGGCTAAAAACACCTCTCTATACATGATCGTTTTTTTTCAACCAAAAACGCCTTACTGTACATGGACGTTTTTTTTGACTAAAAACGCCTTACTATACATGGTCGTTTTTTTCGGCTAAAAATGTCGCAAAAAAAAACAAACTTACTATACATGGTCGTTTTTTTTCAACCAAAAACGCCTTACCAAAAACGCCTCGATTTTTTGGTTAAAAATGCCTTACTATACATGGTCGTTTTTTTCGGCTAAAAACGCCTTCCTATACATGGTCGTTTTTTTCGGCTAAAAAAAACGGACTATACATGGTCGCTTTTTTCGGCTAAAAACGCCTTACTATACATGGTCGTTTTTTTCGGCTAAAAATTTTGCTCAAAAATGCCTTCATATACATGGTCGTTTTTTCGGCTAAAAACACCTCTCTATACATGATCGTTTTTTTTCAACCAAAAACGCCTTACTGTACATGGACGTTTTTTTTGACTAAAAACGCCTTACTATACATGGTCGTTTTTTTCGGCTAAAAACGCCTTCCTATACATGGTCGTTTTTTTCGGCTAAAAAAAACGCCTGACCACACATGGTCGTTTTTTTCGGCTAAAAACGGCTTACTATACATGGTCATTTTTTTCGGCTAAAAACGCCTTACTATACATGGTCGTTTTTTTCGGCTAAAAACGCCTTCCTATACATGGTCGTTTTTTTCGGCTAAAAAACGCCCTACTTTCCCTGGTCGTTTTTTTCGGCTAAAAACGCCTTACTATACCCGGTCATTTTCTTCGGCTAAAAACACCTTACTATACCTGGTCATTTTCTTTGGCTAAAAACGCCTTACTATACAAGGTCGTTTTTTTCGGCTAAAAACGCCTTACTACACCTGGTCATTTCCTTCGGCTAAAAACGCCTTACTATACCTGGTCATTTTCTTCGGCTAAAAACACCTTACTATACCTGGTCATTTTCTTTGGCTAAAAACGCCTTACTATACAAGGTCGTTTTTTTCGGCTAAAAACGCCTTACTATACATGGTCGTTTCTTGACTAAAAACGCCTCACTATAAACGGGTGTTTTATTCGACTAAAAATCTCGGCCAAAAACGCTTTACTATACATGGTCGTTTTTTTCGGCTAAAAACACCTTAGTATACATGGTCGTTTTTTTCGGCTAAAATTACCTTACTATACCTGGTCATTTTCTTCGGCTAAAAACGTCTTACTATACATGGTCGTTTTTTGACTAAAAACGCCTTACTATACCTGGTCAGATTTCGGCCAAAAACGCCTTTTCTATAAATGGTCGTTTTTTCGCCTAAAAACGCCTTACTATACATGGTCGTTTTTTTTTTACAAAAAACGCCTTACTAAACATGGTCGTGTTTTTCGGCTAAAAAACGCCTTACGATATATGGTCAATTTTTTTCGGCTAAAAATGCCTTACTATACATGGTGGTTTTTTTCGGCTAAAAACGCCTTACTATACATGGACGTTTTTTTCGGCTAAAAATGCCTTACTGTACATGGTAGTTTTTTTCGGCCAAAAACGCCTTACTATACATGGTCGTTTTTTTCTGCTTAAAACGCCTTACTATACATGGTCGTTTTTTTCGGCTAAAATTTTTGCTAAAAAATGCCTTCCTATACATGGTCATTTTTTTCGGCTCAAAACACCTCTCTATACATGGTCGTTTTTTTCAACCAAAAACGCCTTACTATACATGGTCATTTTTTTCGGCCAAAAACGCCTTACTATACATGGTCGTTTTTTTCTGCTAAAAACGCATTACTATACATGGTCGTTTTTTTCGGCTAAAAATTTCGCAAAAAAAAAAACCTTACGATACATGGTCGTTTTTTTCAACCAAAAACGCCTTACCAAAAACGCCTCGATTTTTTGGTTAAAAATGCCTTACTATACATGGTCGTTTTTTTCGGCTAAACTGCCTTACTACACATGGTCGGGGTTTTTTTTTTTTTTTTAGCTCAAAATGCCTCGCTCGTTAAGCATTTTTAACTGAAAAATCGACCATGTACAATATAGTAAGGCATTTTGAGCTTAAAAAAAAAAAAAAAAAAAAAAAACGACCACGTAAAGTAAGGCATTTTTAGCCGAAAATAAGGACCATCTATAGTAAGCCGTTTTTCACCCAAAAAATGACCATGTATAGTAAGGCATTTTTAACCGAAAAAAAACAACCATGTATGGTAAGCTGTTTTTAGCTAAAAAACACCCAACCATGTATAGTAAGGCATTTTTAACCGAAAAATCAACCATGTATAGTAAGGCATTTTTAGCCGAAAAAAACGACCATGTATAGTGTAAGGCATTTTGAGCTAAAAAAAAAAACCCGACCATGTATAGTAAGGCATTTTTAGTTAAAAAAAAAAAAAAAAATGACCATGTATAGTAAGACGTTTTAGCTGAAAAAAACGACCATGTCCTGTCAGGCATTTTTAGCCGAAAAAAAAGACCATGTATAGTAAGCCGTTTTTCACCAAAAAACCGACCATGTATAGTCAGGTGTTTTCACCAAAAAAAAAAAAAAAATGACCATGTATAGTAAGGCGTTTTTCACCAAAAAAATCGACCATGTGTAGTCAGTCATTTCAAAAACATGCATAACTTGCGGGTGTTGCAGAAATGTCCGACACGGGAGTGTTTGAATGAATTTTTACATCCAGCTTTTCATTTATTTATTGAATGAGAACGCCGCTGAGAGCAGACATTGCAAGTGCAACAATCCAAACTCCTCCAAAGACACTTTGAGCTACCATAACATTGACTGACCATTCCATTTGTGCACATTCTTCTGAGCTAACTT